GACAGGGGGGCGCCCGACCCGCCCCCCCCCCCCCCCCCCCCCACGGCTTCCCCTTGGTCTCCCACCAAAAACGCTCCCAAAGCGGGGGCGGCGTGAGCTGCCCTCCCTGCCGGGCTGGGAACGCGTCCTGGGATGAGCACTTGGGCAAAGAGGTGATGATGTAGCAGACACGTTTTTTATCAGACATCCTTTGAAGGCGAACGCTTCACATTTCGAGCCGCAGTGCCCAATGCCTCTTCTAACTCCGGCGTATTATTGCTTGTAATAAAGCTGTACATTGATTTATTCCTTCCATTATTCCTCCCCTCGGATTTTGTATTGCTCGAGTTCTCTTCCTTTTCATAAAGATGAAGCTTTATTTTAAATCAGTTATATGACATGATTAATCTTAGTGTTTACTGTATGGCACTTGGTAATGATTAGTTAGTAGCGTGGCTATGATTTTCTGGTTTCAGTCCCGAACGTGTATTAATAATAATTGCAAATAATACTTAAAAAACCCCACAACTTCACAGGTTTTTAAGCTAATGCATTCCATCTTTTTTGTGTGACTCTATGCATTTTGAATGAGTGTAGATATGAGTTTGCATAAAATATTTAATTTAAATAAATATGTTTTTATACGATGATTGTTTTATGATTTAAATTGCTGTAGCTATTGACAAATTTTTCAAAACAGAAACATTTCCTGTGTGAGTGCTATTTTTTTAAATTTTTTTTTTGTTGGTATTTTCAGCCAAACTTTTCTACTTCCATTTTTTTAAATAAAAAAGATCCGTGGTTATCTTTACAAATTGTGGATTGCTTTCTAACAAACCGACTCGAGGCATGATGTGTGCATACCTTCACTTTTCATGGTGTGTCTCAGGGGCAGCAAGTCACTCTGATGGCCTTGATCCCGCTTTCGCCACCTCATGAACACGACCTTTGAACGCCAGGTCCTATGTAGATATTACAGTGAAGGCAAAGCTTTGCCTTCGGTGTGTTGGTGAGCACAAATGACGTTGCCTATTTACGGAGCGAGCGCCAGTCCCTGGAGCATGGTTTTTATCCATATTTAAGGCTGTCTTAAATAGGCTGTGCTTAAATATGGGTATCCATATTTAAGCACAGTTCGTGCTGATGCACCGTTTAAGATGCTCCACCGTGCGAGGGCCACGTAAAGGGTCCTCGGTGCAAACGCAGATCAAGGCAACGAGGCCTGAGAAATGGAATGTGGGTCGAATTTGGGGAGCTGCGTGAAGGGCGCTCTTGTAGGTGGATGTGGGGTGGTGGCCTTCAGGCATTGCTAGCGAAGAGAAACGCTTGGTCCTTCTTGCGGTCTGCGGACCAGCATCACAGCCTGCTCTTGCCAGACATTAAATTAAGCTGTGTCCCTGCGGTCCTTGAGGTTGAGCCACGCACACCTGCCCAAGCAGCGTCCTCCCAGGCTGTGTCCTCCTGCTTGGCACCAAAAAGCAGAGGAGCAAGTTTCCTAATGCACTTTGTGATGCCCGCTTATACGCGTTGGCTGGAAGGGGTCTCGAGAGGTCACTCAACCCAACCCAAGGCAACCCAACCCAAGGCAACCCAACCCAACCCAACTGGGCTGGTTTGCCTTCCATAAATGACTTAGCTGTGACTCAGCGAGCCCATGGTCCCGGAAGGCGGGAGGCTGCATGAGTATTTGGGGAGGCACTGACATGCCCCTGTTCTGTGCTTATGGTCGTCCTTTGTCCCCCTCCCATCGCACACGCCGCCTTCCTCCTTTGCCCATCGCTCAGGCATCCAAACCCACCCTTGGCCACGTGCAGCTGGTTTCCCTTTTAGGGGGAATGAAGCGGATGCCTTCGGGTGTCCTGCTGGCACCATGGGCTGTGGTGGCTCTTGCACCAGCACAGCACAAAGAGCGCGACGCTCGGTGCGGTGCCGAGATGGCCGGTGCAGCAGCCTGGCTGGGGCAGCGTCGCTCTGCCAAGAGGACTGGTGAATCAGCCCATCGGGGCTGGAGAGAGGGAGGTGCCATGAGCCTGTTTGGTCTCTCTGCCCAGTGGCGTTGACTCACGTGGGACCATGCCAGGAGCAGGAGCAGGGCTGGAAAGTCCTGCTCCTACCACCTCCCGCTCTGCCCACAATCCCTGTGGTGCCCCAGGGCCGAGGGATGCTCACAGCCGTCCCCCCCCCGCCCCCCATTAAAAATTGTTCATAGCAGGGGTGGCCCCAGTGCCTGCGTCCAAACCTGGATCTGCCTTTCAACCAGCAAATCCAGGGGGCTGCTCCCTTCCAAGCAGGCTCTCCTTAGAGGGTCAACCACCTCAGGGCGTTAGAGGGGCACCCGCCCCAGGGCATCAGAGGGGCACCCACCCCAGGGCACTCTGCAAATGTTCCTGTCTGCCAGGTCTGCTGCAGGGGCAGCTGAGAATGCTATAATGAGTTTTTAAACTGCCCTGGGGAGGAGGCACAGAGCACATCCCCCGGCCCCCCAACAAGGTCAGCTCCCGCTACTGCCACCGGCATGCCTGATTGGGGCTGTTGCATTTATCCCCCCGATGGGACCCTCCCTTCTGGGACATTGGCTGCTCCCGCCTGTCCTGCTCCTTGTTCCCATGCCCCGAGCAGTGACGGGATCGACTGAAACACCCCGCGAGCCTCTTCTCCCCCTTCCCTTCTCACAGACAGAGTCACATTCGGGGCTGGCGGAGGCAAAGCCTATGCCAAGAGCTCCCGGCAGCGCGTGCGGCGGTGGCCAGAGTCTGGTTTCCCTGGGAAAAGGGGTTTCTCCATGCACCCCAGCCCCGAGGAGCCTGCCGGGCTGGGATGCACGGAGAGGCTGGGATGAACGGAGACTCCCGCGAGCCAAGCCTGTCCCCACTTGCTCAACCTGGAGCCACGTGAGGAGAGGTGGGAGCGTGTCCCCGTGCTCTCTGCACGTCAGGAACAGCTACAGGCCCCAACCGGGAGCCGGGGCCCCCCGAGGGCGTTGGGAGCCGCAGCCAAGGCGAGGTGCGGCTCCCTGGGAGCCAGGCCACGTTGGACGGATCCGGGCACACGCCCAACGCCGGGAGCAGTCAGCTTCCACCTCCCAGGACACCGGCAGCTGAGATGAAATTCGGGAGTGGAGCCATCCGCCCCTTCTCCGGTGGGATGGAAAATGCAATGTTATGGGTTGCCCCCCACCCCACAGCACATTTTTGGGATGCAAGGCATTGCTGCAGGGACCAGCCAGAAAATAAGCGGCTGACAATGGTGGGAAGAAGCCTTTTTTGCTTGGAAAGCGGACATCCCCGCGGAGGACTGAGGGCCATGGTGGTTTATGGATGTTGGGGGGGTCTCCACCCCAAGTGGGACTCGTTCTGCATCAGTCCTGGACATGTTTCTCCTCCCTCCCCATCCCGAACCTGTGAGCCCAAGGCTGTCTCTGTGCACACCGAGGAGTCTTGTGGTTTGTGGGTTGCTTTTTCCAGGCTGGGACGGGCTAGGAACCAGCAGGAAGATCAAATCAGGGCTGCAGGAAGGGGTAAAATGACCTCACGCTACGTTCGGGCTCCCGCTCAGAGGCGTCAGGTTGGGCCAGGGCAAGGGTCTCTCCTTGCCAGGAGGTGGCCAGAGTGCGAGTCCTCTGCCCCCGGTGTCCGGCGGCCCCAGCCAGCTCTTGGCCCCCGTGGCTGTGTGGGTCACGGTGCTGGGCGTCGGGAGCAGTGATGAGGTCACCTTCCCGGATAGCGCTGGGATTCGGGCTGGCCGGGAGCTGCGGTGTGTGTCATGCCCTGGCCCTCCCGGGATGGGTGATGTCCCTCGCATCCCTTGAGCAGGTGGTGGCTCCTCTCCATCCTCGCTCCACCAGCCACGTCTGCTTGTCCCAGTGCCACCGGGCAGGGGTAGACCCTGACGACAAGCAGCCACATGGCTGCTCCGTGCCTCAGTTTCCCTGTTTGTAAAATAGAGATACCACTTCCTTCCCTCCCATCCTTTTTCTGTCCAGCACTGGGACGTGATCTTGCCAAGACTGTGAACGGGACCAAGTGCTTGTGCTGCCCTTATCACCAGGGGTCTCTACCCCATGCGAGGGCTCTGGATGCTGAAATTAGCTGGGAGATGATTATTTTCCCTCCGTCGATCTCAAAGCAGAAGGCAGGGGAGGGAAGTAGAGGCAGAGAAGGGGGCGAGGAGACTTGACTGAGGTCACCCTTCAAATCAGTGGCAGAGCCTAGGGGAGACCCTCGACACCGCCAACTCCCCAAAACCCCTTTTTGCCCCCGTCAACCTCTTTCTGCTCACGAGTAAACACCTTCCCCCTCCATCTCTCTTTGCCCCCATCTCACCCCGACTCCAAACATCGCCGCACCCCGCGGGGAGCCGCACAGGGAGGACGGGATCAGGCCCTCCCTCCCGTCTCTCCAGAGGAGGGAATGAGACAAGCTGCTGAGTGGTTTCCTGCCCGGCACTGCCAATGGGAGCTGCTTGGGGTGCCGAGAGCAAGGGAGGATGTATCCGGAGCTGAGTGTTTCCTGGCAGATAAGGCCAGCCCCTCCTGCCGGATGTTATGAGTCCAGGTCCTGCCTCCACGTTTCAAGCGAAGGGGCTGAGGAAAGGCTTGGATGTTTATGTCAAGGAAAAATAACTTCTCCCTCTGCGTACAATCCTCCGGCTCCCCCAGGGCTACGTGCGGGAGAGTAAATGCTGGGAATAGGAAAACAGGGGCGAGGGGATGGAGGTGGGTGATGGGGGAGATGGGTTTGGCCCCAGGGCAGGAGGGCTATGGGTAGGCTG